AAACCAAACAAGCCAAAACTAGAAAAGCTGATAAAACCGGATGAAATTTGCCTCTGTATTTGAATCCTTTTGCATTTTTCTACCCCTGAGACGAACTTACCGGCTTCGACTATTGCAGGTTTGTTGCTGGAGCAAACAGAGAGGACCTTGAGCACTCGGCTTGTGGTCCACAACAGTTTCTCATAAGTGAAGGTCCTCATGATGTTGACCAGGGCTTGGGGACCACCACTGGCCAGAATAATCAACTATAAAGACAAATGTACATCAAAGTCATCTGAAACTACTTTTGCAACTTGTCAAAACTTGAAAGTACTTTGCGAATGATACTAAGTCAGCATTTATACACACACCAAACTAATCAAGACGGATATAAAAAAAATATTGTATTGACCTTGCTTTCCTGGTTGCCATAAGCAAGTATCTGCAGGCAATCCGTCGTGATGGCGAGGAACTTGACGTTGGTGTTGGACAACAGAGCCACCATCTTTTGTAGTCCTCCGGCCAGGCGGACGGCCATCTTGGCTCCTTCCTGGTGCAACAGGAGGTTGTGGAGCGTGGTGATGGCGTAGAACAACACACTGTCCACCGGTGAGCTAAAAGACGATTCAAGCCATTACAAATACTGCACTCTTATGTCCATTTCTAGACAAATGATCAGTGTTGTGACAATGTGCATTGAACTAGCAGGAATTTTAGCAAGCCAACTGTTGAATTATGTGACATTTAAATGAAAGGCACAGATACAGAGCCTGTATTGAAGTTCAGCTCTGGGGCACCCATCACACTGCCTGCTTGGGATGAGTGCTCCACATACTTACTGAACGCCCTCTGCTAAGCTGCTACCTTCTAACTGCGTTTCCATTTAGATGAGTAGTGCCCAGTTTTGAGCATATGACCAATGAACTGTAGCAGAGGGTCCAACCTCTTAACAAACGGACAAATGATTGCTCTTATGAAATACACATACGGTGGTGTGGATAATAATTGTTTGTCTGTACCGTGAAGCCCTTTTTATCCTCAGAAAAGAAGTTCCACAGGTGTAAAATGCATCTGTGTCACACCGCCATTTGTTACTGACCCCAGCATTTTGACCAGGGCAGGGATCCCTCCAGACTTGAAGATGGCAAGGAGCCCCTCTCGGTGGTGGGAAAGGTTGTGCAAGGTTCCGGCAGAGCAGCGAGCAGTTTCCACATCGCCGGTATTCTGCATTGCTCGAACAACCGCTGAAACCATCTGCGGCGAGCGCATCAGCGCGTGGCGAGAGGCCTCCTTCTTTGACAACTGATGTACCATTACAGCTGCCTTGTTCACCACAACCTGGAAGAAAAGCAACGGTAAGTGATGCGGGCAGGTTCTTGTCGTTGCTGCATAGCTAAGTCGCCTCTACTTACCTGGTCCTCATCATTCAGCAGCTTGGTAAGCTCGGGGATGGCCCGGGTGGCCAGCTCCGCATCATCTTGGTAGTTGATGAGGTTGACCACAGCATGCTTCAGCATCTGAGAGGGCTCGGCCAGGCGCTGCACTGCAGTGGGATGAGTGGCATCAAGCTGTGTCGGCGGAATCTGGATGCCTTCCTCCAAGGTTTCAGGGAACATGGCCGCACGCACCCGCTGGGCACGGGTCATGGCGTAGCCTTCAATGTCTACGGTAAGGAGAAAAAAAACATGACAACAAAGTTAATGGCGGCTACCAACTGGGATGATGTTAAATGTTGCGTGGTCATAGGTACCTGTAGTCTCAGGAGTGAAGGGCGGGTTGAACTCCCAGTCGTACAAAGTCGGATCATCCTCCTCGACGTCAGGGTTTCCTTTGCCACTCAAAGACGGTGCTGTGGTGGTGACTCCAGATTGGATGCCTGAGTCCAGGTAAGACTGCTGCTGCCACTGGCTCACTGCAGCCTTACTGTCTCCCATCGCCATGTCCAACTCCATCAAATCAGCTAAAGAGGGGAAAATGTTTGTTGTCATCATCAGCAAGTTGCAAAATGGAGCTCAACAGTTCTTCTTTCTCATCACTGACATTAAACAGGGAGTAGAAGAAAACGAGTAAAATACAAAACTTTTAGACTACCTCTTGAAGGAACTTTATATTGGAGTCAAAGCACTATCAAAAGGTCAAGGTCATCTTTATTGTCAAATATGCTTTCGGCTTTTACTAGGATATTTATTGATACCGTTCAAACTGTTGCTGTTGCGCTTGTCTGCACGTTTCATTTCCTAAAAAGAGGACAATTTATTTATTTTGCACTTTCTGAAAAAGAAAATATTGAAGTTGTCACCGATTCACTTTAAGTGTAATCAAACCAGTTCCAGTTCACACAAGACAAGCAATTTACGTGCATGTTTCTTCTCGACTGTACCAACTTTAAACCAAGGTAGAGTACATACTGAACCATGACTTCTAACCTATGTTACACCCTCAGCGATAATACATTTTTGTGGTTTCCCCAAAGTCCCCTGAGGGGAACCGTAACTAAGGTCTTTCACATAATGAAAACAAGTTTGACATCTTTAAAGCTCAACAGTGCATCCAATATCCTCGCGGATGCGGCCAACATTTCAGTGTGCGCTCAAACACTGTCGGTCTGTCAGACTGCACACACAAGGCGGAAGCTCGTCTGTGGCACGCGACATGTTAATTAATTCCTGTAGAAATTAAATGAATAAATATCCAAGTCTGACACCTGAAAAATCTAGGAGAGTAAGAAAGTATTTGCAGTATGTTGCCTCCCACCATTGATGACAAGAAAAGCTTTAAAATTGTGAGTGCCTCAATGAATAGGCAAAAGTGAGGGACGCACTGATACTGTTCATCTGTCCTTTTTTTTTTGATCCTGCCAGTTAACATATTTATACAATCTCAACCATTAAGACATGCAAGTCTAAATTGAGTCAGACCTCTACAGTGAAACTGAACGTAAAATGCCTTGTTACAGGTTACATTGAAGTCAATTGTGTGGCAAGACATTTAATTGGATGTCAAACTGTCAGCAATGACGAGTCGTTCCGTCAGAAGTCTTATATTTAAGTGAAATTTGTCATGTTCAAGAAAAGTGGGTGTTTGTTATCAGCAAGTAAATAGAGTGCCATAGGTTCACCCCGAAAAAGCAGGAGGACTGTTTTTCAAAACTTACACTGGGTAGCCATTGTTCTCGCCTGCCCTCGGCCTGCACAGCAGTTAGGTCTGTGTGAAAAAAAAAACAAGAATAACGAAAAAAAGACCAGTCAGACGGAGCAAATAAAAAAACAACATTCCTTAAACACGGTGTCCTACTCGGTTAAGATACAGGCCATGGCGGCGTTTCTCGGTTGGAAAGCCAGTGCCCTTTGCACCAATTTACCTGCGCCAGGTTTCCCTCACTTCAAACGTCTGTTTTGCTCGCGAAAGTAGCTGAGAGAGGGGGGGAATGCCGAGTCTCCACCCCCGGCCGAGAAAGAAAACCGGTGGGTATTTCCAGGCCCGAACTAGCGCAATTCACCATTGAGTGGCAAAGTACTTCAAAGGCATATTTCTCCCCCTCCCCCGTACCACGGCCAAGTTCCGACCTCGCAGCCTGCCTGGGTTTCCGATGAGAAACTACCCTCCTCCGCCCCGCTTTTTGCTTCCATGACTCCTCCTCTCGTGGTGGGGGTCAACCCCACACATAACAGGCTACCTAAACAAAACCCAACAACGAAGTTCGCCACCGGGCGTCTAAACGTGCGAACATTTTTGGATTGCCATTAATGGCGTTACGGTAATCCTCGTTAGCTCCCACTGCTTACCTCGAATGTGCTAACTGCTAATAGGATCACTAGCAAACGTAAACAAACACAACTGGAAGCGTCCGTGTCAAATATTAGAAGCGATCACTCGTTTCAAAACTAATCGGGGATGTCCCTACTGTAACCCGATTGTACCATTCCAAACGTGATTCTCAAAAAGGGGTTGTTGCCAGTTTTCGCAGTTTAGCTAGCCTGGACGTCTGAAATGTAGATCCGGGCGCCACCATACTAAACCTGCCGTGCTGCCAGCCAAAAATCAGAAAACCTCACCGGAGCCCCCTCCCTCGCCAAAGATGATTTCTCCCAGAAACGGCAAAGTGACACGGTGTGAATACTTTCGACGCCAAATATACTAAGTAAGATATCCATACCAGAATCCAATGGCACCACCGTTGTTCCTGTTAGCTGGGGAAATCTCTTGTAGCTTGGGTGAAAAATTTTTAAGGGCTGCTAAATCCGAACCACACCCGCTCTCCCTCCGCCGAAGATATTGCTTCCGCTTGCACTGTCGAGCAACAAGATGGCGAGAGAGGAAAATGCAAGTACAGTATTCTGCCGCAATCGGGGAAATAGTGCGCCTTGAAAGTTCACTGAAATACATTATCCAATGAGGTGATGCCTCTCGCTATTTCTTATTTTTTATTATTTCAAAGGCGGAGTCTTTGACAAAAGAAAGACGTGGTTGCTGGGGCGGTTGAAGAGGGCGGTGTATACTCATTAGAATGGAATGTGACTCATTAGTGAATTAAGAAGTCCATGTCATTTACAGGACAGTGTCTGAACTGGGTTGTCGGGAGTACCATCAACATTGTCACAAATTACAAGATTATCCAGTTTTCAGATTCAAAGAAACATGTTTGTCTTTTGTGGTGGTGCAACTTTAGGTGTCAAGTCCCTCAAAACAATGATTACAGAGGTGTTTGTATGAAACATTTTGTCTCGGGGCATAAGGATGCTACCTCATATACTGGTGTAATTTAGTTTCAACTTAAATAGCAAGCGAATCATATTCAGAACACGCTTTTCGGACACATCTTTATGTCAGCAACAGAAATTGCAGCATGCAACTGAATGAAAATAATTCCACTCAATTTTCTTCCTTGGATGCAACTGAAAAGCTGTAAAGCATTAATCTGTTTCATGAAAGTGCTATATAAAGATGTTTTGTATTGCATTGTATAAATTTCCCCAGTGTGGGACAAATAAAGGATATCTTATCTTAAGACACCCATTGAATGACTCCGAATAAATACCTTTATTTGACTGCTTAACAGATCAGATTATACAAACGCCAACACGGAGCTCTGAAATAACAGGACCAATCAGCAAGACGATGGCTGTACATTCTTGATGTGACCCTACCATGATTTGACACCCCCTGGCCACCCACCACCCTGCCTCTGGAATCACAAGTAAATCTCAACCGCCTTTTGCAGTTTCTGTGTATCATGAAGGGAGGTTGGTCAGATGTCAAAGTGTGCGCTGTGCTAAACTGAAGTATCATCTTTATTTTATTTTTTTGTCCATGTTGAGTGTGGGGTTTAGTGTATTTCAATGTGTAGTGAGCATAGTCATGTTTTTTTTTCTTCTTTTTGGTTTGTAAATAGAACTTCAACATACGAATAGGTTGCACTTACGTCCTTCATTTTCTGTCGCTCGCTTGCACGCACACACACACACACACACACACACACACACACACACACACACACACACACACACACACACACTTGCACACTTGTCCCTTCTTTAAAAAAAAAAAAGTCTTGTTTCAGGCAATAATTTTTGTTCTCTCACATCCTTTGCTTACGTAACTGGCCCAAAACCCTATTATCTAAGTGCAGTTTCTTAAACATGTCTTTCAGCAGTTTCTACCATAAAAAAAAAATAATAATAATACAAATTGAACCATCACAATTAATGGATGGAACAACACCTTCACTCTCTGTCTCGCAATGAATATTTTCAAAAATCATTCCAGCCTACATCCCCCAAGTTGGTCCCTTTACTCATGTAACCATTCTTGCATTTACAGTGACACATTCTCCCTCCCGTGTAACAGCCAGGTAAGAAGGGTAGTTTGGGGTTGAAAGGGTGGGGGTAGTTTTTAGAAGAGGGTATGGAGAGAGGCAAGTCTTCGCATGGGAGGGTGAAAAACAATGGGTCGAAAAAACTAGGTGTCCACCTTTTCTTTTTCCCTACTTCCCTCTTATTTTCCCCTGTATATCCGTGTATCAGAGCAGAAGGAGGGAGGGAGGGAGGGAGGTCAAAAGAGGCGGAGGGTGGCTGAGAGAAGTAGAGCAGAGCGACTGAAGTGTGATGATCTTCATGTATCTTGGGCGTCAGGGGCGGGGGTCTCGTTGGCATTGGGCAAGTCCGTCTCTCGGTTGGATATGCGGTCTAGCTCCGCCTGTACGTCACTCAGGCCCAGCTTTGAGCCTGCAAGCGATAGCAGCGAGACATGGGTGGTTAGGTTTGCTATGGAAAAGGCTAACCTTTTCTTTGTATTCTTAGAAGCATGCAGGATCACATTATCAGCCAGTGGAACAATTAACAAAACATATCAAGTCAAAGAGCTGCAGGGGACATGTACACATGTTAAAATTAGGGCTGGATGCAATATGGAACTATAATACCCTGCAAATCCTGTGAGACATTAAAAAATTATGCTCATTGGTCAAGTGTCCATTGGGTCAGCCATAATTGGAATCATGTGTCATGTGTGCGGCATGAGTAAATTATACGACCAATGCAACGCCACATGCCTTTAAAACAAAAGATGCTGCTTACAATTCAGAGCTAGCCTCTTTTTATATAAGGTGCTTAAGCTCCAAGTTCTTAGTTTATGCAAATACCGGCGGCGTTACTGCTCAAAAGGGGCGCAGCTGTGATTGGATCCTTCATGCTTGGATGCTGATAAAAGGTTCAGCAAGGAGACGGGATTATAAGAAAATAGGAAGAGCATATATGTATATGCACGAGCAACAATAATTGGAGAACGTCCTGCTCGCACACACCTTATCGGGGCCAACATCCTCTGACTGGGCCACGCACATGCGCACGTGGTGAGTTTTGTTAAAAGTGAGATTGGGACAGCAAAGATGAGGAATGAGGTTACAAAAAACGAGAAGACACTTTTCCGATTCTACCGTGTGACAGATACGAGGAGAACAGAAGTGTGATGATGTCGCAAACTCTTCGGGGTTGGAAAGAGAGGAGTGAAAAGTCAAATAAAAAAATAGGCAGGGATGAGTAATGACTGAGGATTGTGGGAGGACCGGATGCTCACTTTTTATGACGACTTTTTATGAAAAGCCAAAAGGTCACAGAAACCACAAACAAACCGTCGGCGTGTGCAGACACTCACCTGATTTGCGTACCGTCCCTGGAGTGTTGTTGCCACCTCCTGCCGTTCCGGCTCCACCTGTGCCTGCTTTCTTTGTCAGTAGACTGTTGAAGAAGTTGGCTAAGACCCCCTCACTGGTTTGACCTGCAGTAAACAGGGATTAGCCCAAGTAAAAAAAAATAATAATAATAATAATACTCAACCAACTGCCTCATGCTAGTGACATATTTGTCTACCTGACTGCGGCATGGCGTTGGCCACGTTGGCAGCTGCAGAACGATTGCTCGTCCGCGGTGAACCAGTGGGTGCTCTGGTTGTCGTGTCCTAAGAATGTAATCCGTTTTGCTCAACGTCATGGGCTTTTTCTGCGTCGGATCCAGAAAGTGGGGGAGGAAAAAAAAAAAAGTACTCTTACCACCGGTCGCCCGACAGTAACAGCAGGCTGTTTGGAGAGCAGAGACTACGGAAAAGAGTATAAGATAAATAAAGTTAGCGTATTGACTGGCACAACCCCCCAAAAATTGCACATTTACAATTGAAATGTTTCCTTACCTGCAATTTTACCAGAAACACTTGGTCATCTTCAGCCTGAATCTCCTTTTCATGGACAATCTAAAACAGTTTCAAAGTCTTTCTTTAAATGAAATTAAAAGAGAACATTTTCAAGCACCTGTGGGGTCTCACACCCAAGGTTTTTTTTTTTTTTTTTTGGGCTGATGGAATTTTATTTAACTGATGTCACTACCTTTCTGACTGGTGGTTTAACGATCACATCCTCAAACCTGTCATCCGTCTTTATGGTCTGGAAGTTCTCGTGAAGTATTGCAATCTTCTTTTCATTGTCCCAACCTGAGGGACTGACATGAGAGAGGGAGGCTTAAAAAAAAAAAATGAAGCGATTGCTTGAACGTGAAATGAAACCCATCGCACGTACGTCAAGCACGAAAGCGGTATGACCTCGAGCAAATTGATGAGCGTGTCTATGGATTGCATAACGGTACACACACTTACATGAAGACCGCATCTCTTTCCACCACTTGTGCGGGGCAGTGGAATGGAAAGCCGTAAAGTCTGTGGACCAGATATTTATATAGCACGTCGAGGTTCTTCATCTCCTTCACGGATGTGTAAATAAGAGAAGCTCCATCTGTCACCTCTGTCAAGGTCGCTGATGGCAATATTACAATTTAAAGACACGGCGCAAACAATTTTACAAGTTCTTTTTGCATTCAAAATGGCTTAATAACAGGCAATTTTTTGCGACCGTTTTCTGCATATCTTTTTGGCAATCTTACTTTACGTTTTAATCAACTTCACGTTCAGTCACACCGTGCACTCGACTACCCCGTTAAACTGCAATCGACTGCGGAGAGAGAAAAAGGCATGGCATCGATTCCACGAAGGATACACTGTAGACAGAACTGTCTGATGTGGGACTGGATAAAGTCCAGGTGTTCGTCTCTGTAGTCGTGCTCCTTCTCCAAAGTGCTGATGGCATCACACTGCGAGGACGGACCGGTCGTGGTCAAGATGGCGGGCACGGCGTGACACAGGGTAGAAACCCAAGAACGTATCTTATTCAATGCATTATCGTATCGCTTTAGCAAATGTTGGTCCACGCTGTGTGTAACTCTCAGCTAAATGAACTACATTTCCAGACACTTAGTGAGAAGTACGTACCTTAGTGCAGACCACTATCATCGGTATGCCCAGGTTGTGCGTGAGGGTGTTGTCTCCTAACGGCAGCAAGACGCTCTCCTCCTCATCGGGCCTCCTCTGTGAGGTCCCATCCTCTCCACCCCCAGGCTCCGTGTATTCCTGAAACTGTTTTACAACTACACGGACAACATTCAGACAGTTAGAAGATTAAGATCTATGGATGTCTTTTGCATTTCCGTGCTCACATGTTAAAACACTGGCTCCTATTGTGCGTGTTCACAGCCTGCCAGATTACTTAACAATTACTGTCAATTCATCTGATTTCTAGACTGCTTGTCCCCATTGGGGTCGCAGGTGAGCAGGAGCCTCCGGCTGACTTTGGGTGAGAAGCAACGTACACCCGGGACTGGTTGCCATCCAATGGACAATTGGAAAAAAAAGAAGAAAAAAAACCCCACACAAGCACTGGTAGGACAAAAGACGTATTTTCAGTTGACTCACGTCTATGCTCGAGCTCCCGCAGCGTTTCTGGAGGCACCCGTAGTTTGTCGACGTGTTCCCTTGCGGCCGCGGCCCACTTCTGGAGCGAGTCCAGCGCGTTCCACGGCCGCGACATGTCAACCGTTATCAGCAGTAACGTGTTGCCGATCGCGTCAACCGGTACAGCCACTCCCTGTAGACCTTTGTGGTAAAAGTCTCCGTCTAAGACCCACGCGTTACACCTCGTGTGGTCTAAACACAAACACCAAAATCGGGAGGGTCAAAAGATTCCAAGCACAACAATATATCTTGAGATGTTAAAATTAAATTGCAAAAAAGGGTGACATACCATCAATGTCGTCGTCATGGACACTGATGTAGAGGTATTCTAGACCTCGCCCTTTCATATACTCTTCAACTCCTTGTAACTTGGCAACCAAGGTGGTTTTCCCTGAGCCAACTTCCCCTAAACACACAAGTGCACAGTTTTGTTTCAGCATATCACACACTGTCTTATGTATTTTGTGTTTTCAAATCATGCTTATACAGGGTGGGTGGAAAGTAAAATCGGCAGTAGAAAGTTCTCTATTTTTTTTCCCCCCAGTTATGTTTTGTAATAATAGCGTAACATTTTTACAAAGACATCAAATATCATTCTTTAAGTATGCACAAACACTTCCCAGCCATACAGCTTTATTGTATTGGTTTTTAAAGCCACTTTGATTGTTGTTGTGTTGACACGGCTGCGTCAATTCCTCCACTGTGCTATGTCCACTCGTGCCGACAGAGGGACCCCATTCAGCACTTATGTTTTGATTGAGACGCAACTTGACGACCCTGTCTGCCACGATGCACGTCAATAAACTCTCTGATTATCCAAGGCAGCGGATTAGCCCTGCGTTTGTGTTCATTTTCAAGATTCGCATCCTCTGCTCAGCATCCCACCTCGAAGCTACTAGGATGCTACAATGACTTGCAGTGTCCTGCGAAATGCAAGCCCACTCTCGGGGAAAATGCACCTGCCTCTTTGTGCAAACCTCAGTGAAACCTAACGCTGATTCTCGATGAAACATTCATCAGTATCTTTGTGCATTCCAGATATTCGACTGCACATATACTGTACCCACCCATAACCAGGACATTTTTCCCAGATGGTAATTTAGATCTTGAATGGGTTGACACTTCGCTCAGGATAGTCGACCTGTAGACACAAGAAGCCGATTACGCCACGACGATTCATGCATTACATTGAACGACAGGCTAAGTAAGGTTAACGCGTTGCTCTGTCACCAGCCTCCTTCTGGTACTGATGCTAGCTAGCCTCGTTAGCAGGCGGTTAACTGTCAAACGAAACCAGGCTCCTCGCCGGAACAATTGGGCTTTCGCGCCCGGAGGCACCGCCGCTATCGATGATCTGCATTGCAAAAATAGATCACACGCACCACAAGTTCTGCCCGTCATCCTCCTCCGGGTTCTCCAGCGTGGTCTTGGATCCAGTTAAGGTGGAGGATAATAATGCACTCCTCCCAGTAGTCGCCATCTTCGCAGCGTTGTCAATGGAGCAGAGTACCCGGATGTACCATTAGCTTAGCCTTAGCCTGGTGCACTGGCTGCACGGTAGGGGCCGGGGCGTGGTCGCACCGCACAAAGATGGAGGGCTCACTCACTCCAAAATACGCTATGACCTCACCCTCAGGGTGACAGTCTCATTCGACAACAGAAGTGCTCCAAATGCGTGTGCTTGTTCGTGCTGCTTTTTTTTTTTTTGGTCATCTGTTATGTGGGCTGGTGTCCATGTGGCCTCATATAAAGCTTAAACCCCAAATCGTTTGATGATATAAAGCCACACAACGTCATAAGCTTCTTCAAAACCGTGTATGATGTTTAGGCGGCATGATGATATTAAGGCAAATAAAATGTCCACTCACTCATCACAACATTTGGCAAACTTGTAGTGCATGCATTAAAATGCACCTTCTAATATAGGGTGTCCCAAAAGTCTCTTTACATTTAGTGCAAATGATTAGATCTGTTGACCGGGATTTATTATAAGAGTGGGAGTGGAGAGCCGACAGGGTTTACATGTCCTCTGCTGGCCTGGACACTCAGAAGCACTGACCTGCATTTACAACCTAAATGCCACACATGGTTTCCATGAAATTGTATGAATTTATCTACTGTCCATTGTCTGAAGTTGTAAGCAATGTTCTTGGTTGCACTGCTACCAGCAGTAAGTATATACACGTCAATTTTTTTATTTATGGGGGTGCCAATCAGATGTCAGACTCCATGTTGCCATGTCAACGTAATCTGCAGAGGGCCTTCACACTCAGTGTGATATCCTCGAAATTGAATTGTATTAATTTTTCAATAATAAGCATTCTGCCATCCTCTCATTGGTTGGTCAGAGCAAGGAAATATTCATTTCCCATCACTGCTGAATAATTAGCAAAGTTTATAATTATATCGCATTTGTTGATGAATTAGGTTCTGTTAAATAAACCCATAAAGTGGTTACTCAGCCAGAAAAGGCCCAGTGTGTATCATGATTTAGTATTGGGGAGGAGGGGGTTCTTCAAACATGAATCAAAACAGTTTAATCCTAGAAATTGGGAATTTCTCCATTGTGAGACAAATATAGGTTTTCTTATCTTAAATCAGAATACCAAATTACAGTATTTAAAACAAACAGCAAACTGAGTTATGATGAAACTTTAGCCGCCATATTTGAGAGTGCCGTCTTATTTATTGATTTCATCCCCCAGAAAACTCATCTTGCTGCTGCGGGGTCTTTTTCGATGGACCACCAACTGGTCTCAGGTGTGCGGTCATCGTTTATTATAAAACCGCTGAAGCGCATCCGAGCCAATCAAGTTGGAGAACTGGAAAAAAAAGCAACACTACCACCCTTGCGGCCACTAGATGACGCTGGTGGACCGCACCGCGAGTGGAGCGGGATCCCTGGATGCTGCGCGCTCCCCACGGCCCCCCGTTGGAGTCAGCGGATTACAAACTCCGGTAAGTGGCGCACCGCCCACCCCCTCCTCCTATTTTTTTTTTATCCAGAGTCAACCCAGGGAAAGGAGTCCTGGCCGCGCTTGCCCGCTGGGAATTTGAATGCGGCTCTCATACTTGGTTTGTCAGCGCCATCCATCCTCAGCTCTGCGGTGTTGTGGGTGACTGAAATCCTCCAAGAGTGCGAGTGGAGGAGGGAGATGGGTCCGGAGACGGCGAGGTAGGTGCCCGTGATTGTCACGTCAACAACGGGGAAGTTCTTTGGCTTGCCCGGATCTTCTCGACAAGTCTCAGTGGGGTGAGTTTTGCGGATGAAAGCTGCTGCTGTGCCTCTCCGACATTGTGCATGAAAAGTGTGGCGCATGCTTTGCAAAAACATTTGCAGCGTGTGTACATTTTTGCCTTCATGTGGTGTAGTTAGATAAGAATTCCTCCGTGTTTAGCAGGCCTTTGATCACGCATATTAAAAGCGGCCGATCCAAATCCTATCAGACAAAAGATGAAATTAGAAAGCTGTTGCCGGAATTGGAAAAGAAGAGAAGACCTTGTAACCTTCATTCTCTGCTTCTTGTTTCTTTTTCCTCTTCTTTTCACCCCTTGTTGCCCCCACGTTTATAATCCCCCTCTCTTCCTCCCTCACTCCTTCTCTCATCTCCAACCACTGTGTCCTGATACCCATCCTGGAAATCAATTTGGGGTATCTTGTCAGTCACCTGAACATAATTCTGTTTCTTGTGTCATGACTGTTAACCTGCCTAGAGTTGCTTGACACGCTGCCTCGTTAGTAGAGCCAGTGTGGAAAAGCGATGCCACGATGCACCTTGTCCGTTAATCAATAAGGGCAATAGCAGTGGACTTGATTCTTCCTGTGGCTGAATCATTAATGTCACATCTGTCACAGTCGCACATGCACCGGCGAAGGTGAATGGGCGTCCCCAAGACACAGTCAAGATAGAGCACTGATTGATTGTCACAGTATGGAGAGAACAACTAATGGAGCCTTGAAGATACACATGACACATCAATCCTGATTTCTATTTAAAGTGCACGCCGATTTCAGAGCAGTTTTTTTTTTTTTTTTCGACATGAGTGTCAATTTTCAGCCAACCTGCGATATCATTTTATATGGCCGACGAAGGCAAATAAAGTGAGTCCGTGTCGGGGTTCCTCACTGAATGGGTTTGTACTTTTCTTTTTGGCAGGATGGAAAATTGCATTTTTTTTCCTCACTTCAAACCGATTTAAGGCGAGTTTTTTTTTTTCTCTAATCAAATCCATCCTTCACTTTGGGGCACAGGTAGAAAATTTAGGGCCGGACACTCGACATCGATGTCCACTCGTTTTCACGATCGTACTGATAAATGAGCTGAAGTGTGGAGCAGAAGTTTGTCAACAACAACAATTCAAAAAGTAAAAAAAGAAACAAAAAAATCTCCCAACTTACTTCGCACGGGCACAAGTAGATGAAAAACTCACTTGCGCTGTTTCAAATTTGAGGTGCCAAAATGCCGCCATTTTGGGGAAGCCTGGAACCCTGACATGCAGTAAAACTGCATACACTCACAAAATTGCCCGCCAGATGCTAATTGATAGAAAGGAGGCGGGTTAGTGACACCGCCACCTTGTGGAATTTTATAATGTGCCTGTCAACAGATTGCATAAGAAACAATTGTGGATGTTTTGTCATTCGGTATTGCTTGACCGAATGTATCTATATAATTGATTGTTAATTGATTGAATTACTCAAAGTGACCCAAGTAGCCAGACCTTTTCATTTGATGCACTAAGTTACAGTTCTTGTTCTATGGTTATCATCATACATTCCTCTTTGCCTTTATTTTCTGTAGCCTTAGTCATCGCAAAAAACAAATAAAAAGTAAAATGTATGTGTGTGTGTGTGTGTGTGTGTGTGTGTGTGTGTGTGTGTGTGTGTGTGTGTGTCAAAAATGTCAAACAGAACGCACCGCCTGGACACACGGCAGTTGTATGTCACACACCTGTCCTGTGCTTCTGTCCGTGTCCACACGTCAGCGAGACCGTTCGGCTCTACTTCGCTAAAAATAAGACACACACTCGCACAAGAAATATGAATAATGGAGGACGGGGGTAGCGAGATCCAGGTCAGAGTCAGACCCAGTTCCAGGAGCTTCAATCCCTAAGGAGGATACTACTAGACCACGACATTAATATTCACTTTGTAGCATCTAGCACATCTGCAGACTTGCAGTTATCCTCTGGGCCGAGACTAACGGGCTGGAGGCTAGCCGAGGTTTGTACATGATGGGCCCGCAGAATGCATCTGTGCATTTTTGTCTCTTTTATTCATGCGATGCAGTGTGCAATAAATTCCTGATTGAGTTTAAACAGATGTCAGATTGATTTGGGTTGACAAATGGTAGCACATTAACATTCATTAGCGTAAGTAGAGGACGTTTATTGATGATGCCGCAAATGACTTTTAAGAGGGAGTTTGTTTATTTATTTTTAATAATAGGCCCTCTCAAATCTCAATGGAAGGATGGAAACTCTTCTCAATATTGTACCGAAGTGGTTTCCAAACTTTTTACACTAAGTATGAACTCACAAAAAAAAAATCATATCTTGCCAGGTTGGACCATCGCAACTACAATTAAATTGCAGTAGTATAGTGGGCCTAAGTGTTCGTCATAACCCAGACAGAGGTTTTAGTATATTGAATACTATTGTAAAGCAATGTCATTTTATGCACCGCTTGATCAATAAGGATTAAAAATTTAATCCAAATGTGCTCAAAGGTTACCGGTAATTAGCATGTACCAATGCTTATTCATTGATTTGTTCCCATATCTCTAACGGTGCACACACCACGTTTTTAAAAGCAGTGCAGCACCAAAATAGAATGAGAGAACAGTGTTTCATCTGAAACACAAGGCGTAGGTGAGTAATAATCTGTTCTCGTTGAAAGGCACCTCATTTATCCAGCCATTAGTGTCTCTAATTCACACGTTGTCATTTCGACATGTTCTCGCAACGCTTGAAAGAATGTTATTTCAACATCTTTCCGACAGCTGTGCTTCTCAAACTTTTTTGACACCCAAGTTTTGCTTTGCCACCCTGTTCAGTATTCAGTGTAAATATAAGTGTCATTTTTGAGTGCAACAACAGTGAGTATGTCCCTCAGTGAAATGTCCGAATCTGACCCAATTAGCGGTTTCCCCCTCCCCAATGTCATCGGATTCAAGTTGTGTAACAAGGTCTCAGGTGTGGCCAGGTGTGGTCTATCTGTCTGTCCGTCTGTCTCGTTCTAAAATTACACTGACTACGCATCTGTTCTTCTTTCTCCCTTTCTCCTCCCAGTGGGTGACTGTGCAATTCACGATGAGCAATATCTACGAGTCTGCAGAGGCCACGCTGGGCTTCATCAGCTCTCCGTGCCTCACCAAAGTGGAGCTCAGAGTGGCCTGTCGGGGAATCTCAGACCGAGACGCCCTCTCCAAACCCGACCCTTGCGTGGTTCTGAAGATGCAGTCACACGGCCAGTGGTTTGAGGTAGAGTCCGTTGACGGACGGAGGGGAACGACAGGCTGGGTGTGTACTTTCCCCGGGGTACTGAACATGTGAAGCAGATGGGCTGCATTCACTTTTAAAGGAGTGAAGCTGGAGAGGGGCGGGGGGGAGGTTGTCAGTGCAAAACGGATCCCGGGGAAAGACGGACACATTCTTAGCCCACATCCCTCTCTTTAACCCTTACAGGCCCAGCGGTTGCTACAGTGGACAGCTTATCTTGTTATCAGGTGGTGCATGAAAGGGTTAAAGACAGCAAGTGCACTCTGTACGCCGCCCATTTACATAATCTGGCAGCCCAAAAACGGCGATGCTGAGGCGCACTCATACTCGAGCGTGGCGCCTGCTTGGATGACCTTCACTTTGTGCCAATTGTGTAGGTGCGCGCGTTTTAAGAAGGGCGCATGCACAAGCGTTAACAAAAGCCCATCGGCCCGCACCGGACTGATTTATGTTTCTGTTCCTTTCTCCCTTGGGGGCGGGGGGAGGGAGGAGAACGTAAGAACAATTATATTCTCTGCGTTATCAAACAGCTAGTTGATAAGTCTGCACAATGTAGCGCTCTTTAATTGTATTTGTAGCGGCCGCGATGCCGAGAAGTCGGCTGATTCACAATCGATGCACACCGGCAATGTGCTGGGTATTTAATGACATCCTGCCTTTTGTACAGTTATGAAGACCACCCACAAAAAAAAAAGCATTAAAAGTACACCACAATAAAAACGGAACAATTGCAATCTCCAATTTGTATTCTTAGAGTCCAGTTCTGAGATTTATGGGTGGCATTCATGTCGACTGGACATCGTGGGTCAGAAACAGAATTCAGATTGACAGTTGTCATTTTTGTTATCTGCATTGCACCAAAGGCTTAAATCTAAAAAGAGACACAAAAGGAGAATGACTATGGGCTAACCCTCATCACTTCTCAAAGCGACGTAACAGAAAATGAATCACAAAACTGCTATGGGGGAAAAAAAAAAAACGTGTTTATCACATCAGCCAGTATTGTGTTTGCTGCCTCCAAGTGGCCGAATATCAGTGAAATTATGAATTTATGAATGTATAGTACATTCTCACCTCTTCCGTGTTACTTGGAATACTAGAATATAATATGCAAGGTGAAAATTATGTTGCAATAAATAAATAAATAAAACAAAACCTCACAGTTCTGAGGTCTCGGGCCTGAATGAAAACATGCATGTTTGCTTCGTTGAAGATTTAAATGTCTTTTCCGTGTGAATTTTGCAGATGAATGGTTTGTCTTTGGGGAAAACTGAATGTTTGGAATGAGAAAAAATAATAGCCCGGTGGGAATTTTTGGGGGGGAATCTGTTTAAATTGGAATAATGTGAATCGGATGACTTATATGGAACTAGATGCATATCACAGTCATCATTCGTTGCGGGGAATGCCGAAAGCTTTCACGCAATAATTCTGAAACTTGTGTTTTGCGCACGTGTCGAAAGGTGGACCGGACGGAAGTGATCCGCAGCAGTAGCGGCCCAGTCTTCTCCAAGATCTTTCTGGTGGATTACTACTTTGAAGAGGTGCAAAGGCTGCGTTTCGAACTTCTCGACATCAGCTCGGGCAACAATGGCCTCCGTGATGCTGACTTCCTCGGGGCCTTGGAGTGCACCTTGGGACAGGTCGGATGTAACCACGGCGCGTTCTGTGCGCGGCGGCATGTTTACGAGTACGACGTGAGGGATTAAGCTGAGTGCTTATTGGATTTGCGTGTAATTAGTTAATGTGTATTTGTGTAATGAAGGCCGATGGAGATCAACACTCTCTATACATGCCCAAGTTAAGACTAGGCCCCCAAAATACCCAAAGACTGATTTTTCCTCATGTTTTTTGGGACTGATGAAATGAATTTGGCTTCAGATAGACTCGATGGCAGAATTCAGGATTGGCCACAAAGCTCAGCTTTGATTCAACAAGGCGGAGGGTGGCATTTCGGTTCGGGCCGCTGTCGTTAAAAAAATTAGATAGTTGGACATTGTAAGTTTCACCGACGATTCAAAATAAACTTCCAGAGCCACTGTCGGTTTTTAGAGGACACTTTATGCATGCGGTGGGACAGAAAAAAAAAAGCCTTAAAAAAATGAAATTTACCTTCATACACCAAAAAATCTAGTCTGGGTGTGATTATATAAAAAAAAAAAAATCACAACTGTATTACATACTGTATGTGCCTCATGTGCATCTGTCAGGCTCCTTCTTGCAGCAATGCAGTGTGCGCAAGTAAAAACGGGAAGACTTGATTCGGAATTCGGCTCTTTGAGCTTTCAACCGTGTATCACACAATTGTGTCCTGTTATTGCGGCGATAGGGAGGTAAAGCGCTGCGGCGCATGGAATCCCAACGGGATGTTTTTTTTTTTGCCTGGAGTCAGCTACTGTCACTAACATTATGGGATAAATATCCTTGAGCCCTGACTTGCAGCACCGGGCCGCCTAAAACGGATTTTGTTCAGGTATGTGCGCTGCTTTCCGAATATGCGAACTGACTTCCTGTAACGTATCCAATGGGATAAAAAGAGAGAATATAAAAGGATTTTGTACTTTGCTCAAGGATGCCTTAGATGGGAAGTGAACTGGCGCTTCTCCAGTAACCTAGTCTTTTTTCATACTGCCACAATTTATATCATGGTGGTCCCCCCCCTAATGACCATGCAATCAATATTTAAATATATGCTTTATTGTGGAGGTGCACTCATTAAACACAGGCAATTAGCGGGAAAAAAAATAGGCATTCGTGCTCATTAAAAAGACCGATGACCTAAGCGGGTGCTCAGGAAATGCCAGCTAAGCAGCTTTTAATTCCATTTTTTGCTACCAAGAAAGACAACAAAACTATAAAATGTGTGTTTGCTGTTGACCTGGTCAGCACAAAGCTGTTTTTTTTTTTTTTTTACTGACACATGAAAAAAGCATTCTTTAAAGCGTTAGCCAAAGGTTTCCTGAAATTGGATTAAGCCAACGGCGTTTACAACACAAGTCTTGTCAAGAGCTTTGTTTCATGAGACTCGCACGTTGCTTTATGTTGCCGCAGCTTAAATGCACCAGAAGCACTGATCTGCTTGGAAAAGTTGTGGGAACATTGTCTGCCAACGTTGCTACTATTCTGCAGTACTTTCAAATTAGCTGTCAAAGCAAGAGATGCAACGACGACGTTGTTTTTGTCACGTGCCGGCCTTCGGGCAAAATGCCCATTCGGCGCTCTTTGAAATTTTCAACTCTCAAGCCGGAGGCTCCATCCCGCGTTGCTATATGCACTGACAGCGTTCGTATTTCAAATTTAGGTTCACGAGTGAAAGCAAAAATTGTTGGTTGAAAAAATGTGTAAGGGCTCAAGGTACCACTGTACTCTATAGTGCCGTTTTGCACCATGCGCATCCGAACCAACCCGACCAATAAGGGCAGTGGGAAGCACATTTCCTTTTTTTTTTTTTGCTCTCGTCCCCCGTGAATAATATTCTCTTTTTGCACGTCTCGGTTTCAGATTGTCTCACAAAGGAAACTCACCAAAGCACTCCTCAAACAGGGAAATACTGCCGGGAAGTCTTCTATCATGGTGTGACACTGTTCCAAATCAGCCAAACACACTTACTCACCATCACACCTCGCTTTCGGGAAACCGGACAATTCATGCGATGGTGTTGCACATTTAGCGTGATCAATGCCTCATTTCCATCGCCGTTTCTCTCCTTCTTGCCCGTTCTCTTCCTGCCCTCTTGTCAACTCTACTCCAAAGGTGACGGCGGAGGAGCTGTCCGGCAACGACGACTATGTCGAGCTCTCCTTCAGTGCTCGTAAGCTGGACGACAAGGTTTGTGCAACCAAAAGGAGGCCGTGCTGAGATATTCGGTCACCTTAAGTAACCCCCTCCTATCTCAGGCACGGAGATAACTGTGTTCATTTTCAGGCTTGCCGTGCATGCACACGGGGCACAGTCATGAATGACTAATCCAAACAGGTTGTGCCTCAGGGGGAACTGTGGAAGTAACCAAGGGAGAGGTGGACAATTTAGCGAGAGAGAGAGAGAGACTGGGAAGAAACAAGGGAGAAATAATGATTCCTTTTAGAGGGTGAATGATTTATGCTGCCCGCCTTATGGATTTGTTTTGCCTCTGAAGGATTTCTTCAGCAAGTCAGATCCATTCCTGGAGATTTTTCGAATCAATGATGATGGGAGCGAGTCCCTCGTACACAGGACAGAGGTAATTACATGCGCACAGAGGGAGGGAGTTAATGACTTCGTCTCTGGTGAACGTTAAGAGTCTTGTTTGTTTGTTTGTTTGCCCCCCCCCGCCCCCCCCCCCAATCCCCATCCCCTCTCTGGTATTTGTTCAGACGGTCATGAACAACTTGAGCCCCGTTTGGAAATCCTTCAAAGTTTCCTTGAACACACTCTGCAGCGGAGACCAGGAAAGGGAGCTAAAGGTGAGTCCGCGATCGTTATTATTTATAGCGGGTCTGAAAAAAAAAATGACATCATTTTATTTCTTCTGTTTTCACAACGTTTTGCACAAAATAAAGCATTTTAATTAGAAGGGCCAGTTCCTGTCAAGACGGAACCATTTCCTTCTGGGCACCGAATGCAAATGAGTCCCGTCCGTCTGTGCATCTTACAGCATCCTTGATGAAATCATAAAATAGCCTGCTAACTTGGAAACAAACGGACAAATACTGCTCTCCACAATTTTCGCAACTTTAATCTGCTTCCACAATGTCTTCAAGAGTGCTTTCGGATATTATGACGCAAGTAATAGTAAAAATGAATTGCGTTGACTTTGCGTAATTAAGAATATGCAGTGAAGGATCAAATCCATCAAAATCCCAACTCACCACCTGCGCCACAACTTAGACCTGGTTTCAATGAGTCTAAAGTCGAGATTACTTTCTGTCATCGAATTTGTCAGGTGCGCCTCGGGCGTGTAATAGCACGCCATTGATCCCCCTGGAAATCCCATCTATTTTTTATATATCGTTCAATGCCATGTTTTATGTAAATAGGTCACCACCAAACCGTGGATTGATTTCAGGTCATGTTCCCAATTTTCATGTTGCCGTGGTGTTATTTCAAGAACGGGAGAAGATGCGAAAGAGCTCAAATTGGCAAACTTTCACCTTTGCTTGCCAGAACAGATTTGTGTAAATGAGCGGGAAAGCGGAGCCCCGCGCATCGACTCGGAACGCGATCCTGGCCATGAATAAACATGAGCTTGATCATCAAATATTCAGCGGCGTCTTAACTCTGCGTGGATCCTGACAGCAGGAGGAAAAGGGCTAACGCGCACACGTACGCGCCCTCGGCGCTGGTTTCCCCGGCTACCCGTTTGAAGCGTCAGCGCTATAGTGAGACATGGCAGGGTGCAAATTTTCTCTCTTCCCGCCGACTCTTGTCAAACAACGCTCCATACTGACCAATACATGAATTCATCGCCGTTATTTTTCTTTTTCTAGAACTCATCAGTGGTCCCCACGTGGTTCATTTGGTACCAGGCCGCTCAGAAAGAATAAATAACTTAGATTACTTCCGTTTTATTTATTTCGGACTCTGAAAGATGTTTTATTTTGAAAAATTACCGGATCCTCTGTTACATTCGTCGACAATATGTCACTCTTGACGCAGGTCAAGGCGCGCTTCTCAGTCCCCATGATAGGTTACCGCTAAAATGAAACCCGGGAGCTAGCAAAATGAGTAAAAAACAAAGGGCCTACGACTTTCAAGAAAAAGAAGGCGAAATTTAATAGACAGTATCAGGAGTCCTACTTCAAATACGGATTTATCTCAACGGGAGATTCCCACGCACCAAGCGCACTCTGCATAACACGCGGCGATGGTGAGTCGTATTTTTCATGCACTTTGTATTTGCGGCGTATCTTATTTAGAAGGCACTTTTGTTTAAACGTTACCATAGCGACCAGAGAGCGTTGCGGCCAGATAGGACGTTCTTCGTGTATGATTCGTGTTTATTATTATGTTTGGAAAATATTTCATGCAGCTGATATCATCTTATTTTGTTGTATTTATCCATCACACCGGTGTCTGAAAATATTGTCTGAGATTAAGCTGGAGCAAAAAAGGTTGGGGTCCGCTGCTCTGCATGACCACCCATTCGTCTGTTGATCTCCCCCGCCCGCGCCTCACAAACATCACACTTGGGATTCGGGCACTTGTTAGCTCAAGTGGAAGGCGGGCAAATAAGAGAATTACCAGTGGTTGATGTTTCTAATCAAGCTTCGTTAAATTGGTTGTGATTGCTAGTTGTTCAGGTAACCGAATGACAATCCCAAGCATCTCTTCGTGTTTGTGTTTCTCCTTTGACTACATTCGATTGATTTTTTTTTTTTTTAACAATCCCAGTCAGCTTCACAATCATTGCCGGCAGCCGCTTTAAAATGAAAGGATGGCGTACTTTCGTTCGGCGCGCTGCGGCCTGCTGACTCTCGCCTTTTCTCAAGGATTGCGGCCATTTGTCTTGTTCGCCGGCGGCTCCTTCGGGAGCTCACATAAGGCGCACGCGGGCAAAACACGGCGTCTCTTAGGCCACATCCCTCTCAGCATCCTCAGATTAATATTTCACCGTGCCATTGCCCCCCCACTAACACCTCGTTATCAATCATTCAACATGGCATTTCCCGTGTGTGTGTGTGTGTATGTGTGTGTGTCTGCATGTGTATTTGCTCAGGTGATGCCGCAGCTGCGCTCTAACTGGGGGGGGGCTCTGTCTTTTTTAGTGCACCGTTTGGGACTGGGACTCGAATGGAAAGCATGATTTCATTGGGGAGTTTCAGACCACGTTTAAGGAGATGAGGGCAGAACAGGAGGGCAAGCAGGTGAGAAAATAAACGCCTTCGCCAAACCCGCTGTCGGCAAGCCGCTTCACACTCGGCAATCATTTGCGGGAGAAAAGACGCACACAATCGCCCCCGCTGCCATTTTGCCATCAAATTATGCTGATTGTTCAAATAGTCATGAGGTGAGATGTAATCAAAGCGGGGCGGCGACGTGAATCACGTTCGCCAATATGAGTTGAACGAAAAGTGTTTCCTACCACCGCGTTGCGCCCAAAATAGTACCGCAATCTTAAAAAAAAAAAAAAAGTTACCCACAATGCCATGGGCACTGACACAACCGCATATCAACACCAGTTCAGGCGGCTGAACTTTGCTCTGGCAGCAACCCCGCGTGCCGCTCGTTCCCACGTAGCGCCAAGGACACAATGTTCACGAGTTTAATGAAGAACGAAAGAAATAAAACCCTTTGAAACCGGTCTCAGATCAATTCAGGGACGCAGAAGTTGTTCAAGGATTTTCTCTTTGCTTGGGTCTTAATTTATCGGCGCGGAGATGAAGGGTGGTGACGGACGTGTTTCTGAAATGTACCACAGTCGCGATAATGATCTCCTTTCATGCAGTTGTTCTTCAACCTTGTGCTTTTTCTTCTTTTTTTTTCTCCATCCTTTGCGATATCTCTCCATTCATCTGAGCAAAGATGATTTCGCCGAGTTGATTTTGGAGCAAATATTTATCATGAAATGTGTTATACACACTTACTGTGGAATAGATAAAGAGCAAATTTTTCTAAAGCTCCAAAATATCATTCGAGGCAAAGAAGCAGAACACCATAAAATTAGAACAAGGAATTTGAAACTGACAAAAGTCTTCTCTAATGATGGCCATGGCAGTTCAGAGTTTCATACATCTTTGTTGAGTTCACAACTATGCAACACAGACCGCATTCAAAACGCTATCAAAGGCTCTCGGGGGTGGGGGGGAGGGGTGGGAACACGTCTGTCTACAAATCAGCATATGAGAGGTTCGACTCCAGGCTAGCTTGTGCGATTTATTTTTGGGTGGCCCGGTGGTCCAGTGGTTAGCACGTGGACCTCACAGTGCAGAGGTCGTGGGTTTGATCCCGGCTCCGGCCTCCCTGTGTGGAGTTTGCATGTTCTCCCCGGGCCTGCGTGGGTTTTCTCCGGGTACTCCGGTTTCCTCCCACATTCCAAAAGCATGCATGGCAGGCTGATTGAACACTCGAAATTGTCCTGAGGTGTGAGTGTGAGCGCAGATGGTTGTTTGTTCTCTGTGCGCCCTGCGATTGGCTGGCAACCAGTTCAGGGTGTCCCCCGCCTACTGCCCGAAGACGCCTGGGATAGGCTCCAGCACCCCCCGCGACCCTTGTTAGGATAAGCGGATCGGAAAATGGATGGATGAAAAAAAAAACAACTTTCAAACGCTCTCCTTGACGTGCCATTACCATGTGATTTGCACTTTCCAAACTGAATGTTTTCTCCCGATTCAGTGGGAGTGCATCAACCCTAAATATCAGATGAAAAAGAAGAATTACAGAAACTCCGGGGTCGTCTTTCTTAACCACTGTAAGGTAAAGTCAACCTCCCCCACTCGTGCCTTTGCAAATATTCAAGTGCTCAAATTTTGTCTGCCATTGTGAATTGAATTCAACAATTCAAGAGTTGATTTTTTTTATTTTTTTTTTCCCCGAAAACATCTTTCCCCATGACAGATCATCAAAATGTATTCCTTCTTGGATTATATCATGGGCGGCTGTCAAATCCAGTTCACAGTGAGTTGCCTTCACCAAGTGGAAAGTGGTCGTGCTGGTGGGAGTGCTTCATATATGGCGTGTGCGTCCGTGTGTGTGTGTGTGTGTGTGTGTGTGTGTGTGTGTGTGTGCGTCCCAGGTGGCAATAGACTTCACAGCATCCAATGGGGATCCTCGAAACAGCTGCTCCCTCCATTACATCCACCCCTACCAACCCAACGAATATCTCAAAGCTTTAGTGGCCGTGGGGGAGATCTGCCAAGACTATGACAGGTACAGCGAACACTCCAACCATCACCGTTCACCTCATTTGGAGCGCACACACACACACACACACACACACGCACACGCACACACGTAAAGTCATTAATTCCTACTCCTTTCATCTTATTTTCTCTTTCTTGGTCTCTTCAATGAATCGTGGGTCTCTCCAGCGATAAAATGTTCCCGGCGTTTGGTTTTGGAGCTTTAATACCGCCTGACTTCAAGGTAGGTGGTGTGCGTGTGTGTGTATGTGTGCGTGTGTGTATGTGTGTGTGCGTCGCAAGGTTTTGTTGCAGATGAAAGGCAAAATGCATCCGACGTCGCAGTAAGGCCATGTTTTCTCTGCCCCCACGTGAAGGTGTCGCATGATTTTGCCGTCAACTTTGACGAAGACAATCCCGAATGCGCCGGTGAGCTGTTCAAACGCACATTGCTGCATGTCATTTTTTTTTTTTCTTGACTCATTCACATCCCCGTATCACAGGATGGAAATAGTTCTCCGGTGCCAAATTTTTCTCCTCCTGTCTCGCGCGCGCACGCACGCACGTACGCACATCCAATCGGGAGATTTGACACGAGGCTGCACGATTATTTCAGGCTACAATACACAGAGAAAAATAACACTCATCTAGATGTGTGAAATGGGGCTTCTGTACTCTTCCCTGCACATTGCGGCTTTCTTGCTGTGAGCTTGGACGTGCCATCTTCGGTTTGTGGTTATTATGTCACAATAGAAAAAAAACAGCATCCCAGCACCTTGTTGTGTCGTGAAACAACACGAGAAGAACGTGATTGTTTCAGCAAATGCTTTTCCAAGGACGAGACCGTGGTCTTGTTGATACAGTATCAGTGTAATGTGTTTCCACGTGTGCACGTTGCAGGAATCCAAGGTGTGGTTGAGGCTTACCAAAATTGCCTTCCCAAAATTCAACTCTACGGGCCCACCAATATCGCCCCCATCATCCAGAAAGTAGCCTCATCCGCCTCAGAGGAGATGCACACCAAAGAGGCCATGGTGAGAGTGGGGGGGGGAATTGTTTTTAATATTATTTATTTTCATTTTCATGTGCTTCATAGTTCAGACTTTTTATCCTTTATTGTCTCGTGTATTTGAAGAACTAAAATTTCTCTTTTGAATGTAAAATCATTGCTGAATTCAGAAAAAAAAACGAATCGTTGTTTAATTTGTATTTTATTGTCCTTCATAAAGGAAAGGGAGGTCGCACGTTCCTGCTCTAACTCCTTCCTACCCTCTTTTTTTTTTTTTTTTAAATCAAACACACCTCTCCACATCCTCCCCTTTATTGACCTCCAAAAAAAATGTCTCCCCTCCCGTGTCCCGCCGTAGGAATATTTCATCCTCCTCATTCTGACAGACGGCGTCATCACCGACATGGCCGACACGCGGGAGGCCATCGTGCACGCCTCCCACCTCCCCATGTCCGTCATCATCGTCGGCGTGGGCAACGCCGACTTCACCGACATGCAGATTTTGGACGGCGACGACGGCATCCTGCGTTCGCCCAAGGGCGAGCCCGTCCTCCGGGACATCGTCCAGTTCGTGCCCTTTAAGGATTTCAAGCACGTGGGTGGCTATGGCACTCGAGATGGATGACATGTGACACGGTGCAAGTCTGGCAGCACAGCGCATCGGTTTTACATTTCGAGCGAGCCTTCTCACAGATTGTACACCAAATGTCACGTTCACTTAGTCGGTAGAGCATCATGTAGTCATACAGTAGACAGCGTAGAAGAAAGCACCTTCCCCCTTTCAGTTTCTTCAACCTCCTCTTTACTCTCGGCAAGCAAATCTAGATGGCCGAATGTGGTGAGTGGGCGTAATAATAAGCACATCAGTGATCTGTCTGTGTATGTTTGCGCGCGCGTGTGTGTGCGCGCGCGCTTGAATGGCATTGATCTAGTCAGGCTTTGACAGGGCCTGTTTGGCTGGATTTGTTACGCTAAGTTTGCTCTTTGGCAGGTTGAGAAATCAACCAATTACGTTCCAACCAAACAAAGTGTCCGTCTGCCGGGATTGTGTGCTTGCCCGTGGGTGGATGGCGACTCAATCAAAGTCGGGGGGGGGGAGATATGGACCCGAAGATATTGATAAAAGGATGCACAGGTTGTGGAAGTCAACAGTCAGCGCGCAGGTGAAGGCGTCGTTGCTGTGTTTGGTGACAGGGCGGGGGTCAGCGGGAGAGGCGAGCTAATGACAAAAGGGAGCAAGGGAGTGTGTGACAGAGGTGGCGAGGTGATTTTCTGCTCTGTCGTTTCTTTTCAGAGGGGATTAAGAGGAGCGGGCAAGTGTGTGACAGGCAGAGTTGGATGTATCAGGTGGGAAGGAGCGGAGCGCCAGTGGGTGTTTTTTTGGGGGGGAGAAATTAGAGGAAGCGAAGGGGGGGGGGCAGTGAGCGGACTTTTGATGGCGCATTGTCTCAGGGAATTATGTTGAGATAGAGAGCGAGTGACTGACTTGGTGGTGGGGGGGTGTGCAAACTGAAAAGTGAAGCGGATTGAAAGCTTTTGGCCTTCCGTCATTTTCAGCACTGCGTTGCGATACTAGTGACGTACCGACTTACACGTTTTTGCCGAGACGAGCTTTCCCCACTCACCCAACACTCAACTTCCTTCATAACACACAGTGCTTTTAAAACAACTGCATAGCTTTGCCTTTCCCTCAAAAGCTAATACCGTACGTACATTTTATGAATACTTATTTGAAAAGCTCTCTCCACCACTGATGCATTTCTTGTTTACTGGTCTGACTTTTGTGCAGCCAGTGCTCAGTTTCCGATTCAGTGACAGTGTCGTCTGTCTATGTGTGCCCTGGGATTGGCCGGTGACCCCTCGTCAATCCGCCGGGATCGGCTCCTGGTCACCTCACCGCCGAAAATGGATTCCCCATGAAGAGGCAACATGGTGGAATAGTGATTAGCACAGCACAGCAAGTTAGTTCAAGTGCTTGAAATGTGAGTCGGTGTCTAATCCACCAGTCTGCTCACATTCTCTTGAAACCTCTCGTGGCTGGTCCTTCTTTTTTTGAAGTGTTCAAATGGAGGGAGTAGAAGTCAAAACAGATGCCTGAGAACTCTTTAAGTTCAGCTCACTTATTGTAAAGTGGTACCCTTTCAGATGCCAACCAAAACCCAGAGGACCACATGTAGGAATTTTTCATCCCCCCCCCCCCAACTTCCCCATACAAGCTTGTCTGATCTCGTCAGTCTCCCTGCGCTCAGCCTATGACAGCATCAGGCTCGACAGTGAATTCCAGCCTGCGAGAGTCACGCGTGGCTAGCGATGCGAAAGGCTTCTTAATGTATTCCGTTTTCTCCTCTCTCTCTCTCTCTCTCTCTCTCTCTCTCTCGCTCTCGCTCTCTCTCTCTATTTCCCTCTCTCTCTTGTCTGTCTGTCTACCTATTGGCAGGCGTCCCCAGCTGCCCTGGCAAAAAGTGTTCTGGCAGAAGTCCCGAACCAGGTGGTGGATTACTACAACGCTAAAGGCATCAAACCCAAGTGTATGTCGGACTATGAGTCAACAAGGACCTTCAGTCCCTGACGATGGACGAGCTATATACATGTTTACAATACAAGTGTGCATTGCTTACCCCCCTGCGCCCCCTTTACACACACACCCACACACACATATTCATGTAAATACGTAGACCTTTGTCTAGCTCAGAGAAACAAATAGACTACTGCATGTTTGGCTTTGATGGCCTTAGCCGGGAATCCATCCTTGTATATCTTCCACATGTTTCTAGATACGAGTTTACCGAATCAGCATGCAGATCTCAGCCAACGCCAAGAAATGACACCATACCTTATTTGGATAACTAGCAAGTGCGTCGATAGCGCAAATGTGATGAATGTATTCTGAGAACTAGCATTGCACTTTGTATTCAAATTATTTCCGTGGATATTAGTTTCCCTGTTCGTGTTTTGCAGAAATGCATACATAATTCTGCTAGCTACTCCCTCGTAGAAGGCTTGCTGGTTATGAAAAAAAGTATCTGTCATTTCAAAGATATTATGGGCTGTTTTTTTTTCTACAGCATTCTTTTTTGGGGTGGGGGACATAATTGTAATAATTTCTTAATAACCTTCCTAAATTGTAAAGAGTTTTGCAGGGGTAGCTTGGTGTGGGTTGTAGGCACTGATCTGTGAACTCTTTTTTTTCCTTGTAAACTGCATGTGGATTATAATAAAGGCGCTTTGTTTTTCTCATTTGGTGCAGTTTGCTGTGTGCGCATGTACCGGTAAGCGTGTGTGTGTGTGTGTGTGTGTTTAAAGTGTAAAATCGATCCCCTCTGTGAGGGCAATTGGAAAAAAAATGAAGCTGATCACGCAAGGAGGAGCTGAGGGCGCAGATGTCTCATACTGGAGAATTTAATGAACTCGGCAGAGGAGAGGGAAGCAATGCAATGGGAGTTGCAGACGTTACCGACTTTAACCATTTCATTCCTCTAATTCCAACGATTTTTAAATATATTGATTTAGAATCTCCATCATAATCACAAAGTTGAACCAAAGCCCACTTTTTTTTTTAAGATGAATTGGGGTTGTGGCCACTGTGACACATTCCACGGGCACGCCGGCTAACTTCTTGTCAAGAGTATTCCCAGGAAAGTGGAAACCATTCTATCAGCAAACAGAAGCCAAATTATTTTCTGAGTGGTTCACTTCCTGCGACGATAAAGAGGTGCCCAAATATGTTTACTTGCGTGCCAACAAATGCACAGTTTCAATTCAACAACTGTGAATGTCAAGAAGGGTCGTTGCAGTTTCTTTGGTTTTGATTGTCCCAGCTCCTTCGGCACTGTGTCTCTGAGCACATTGAATATGGCGAATGTAATGACTGTTCGCATAATGTCCAAACCTCCAGTGAGCCACTGAGGATAGAACTCATATCTCTTTGTCGCTCACAGACAGCCCCCAAGTTGCCAGTACTGTGCAGCTGCACAGGCTTTGTTTGGATACACAAACAGCAACGGTCCACAGACATTTGGGCTTGTTGCAACTCTTAAAACATCAACTTATCCCCCCCCCCCCCAACTCTAAATCTGATGATATACTTCACAAAGACAGCTATGGCAGGCTCCAGCACACCCGCGAGTCCATTACCCTTGTGGTGGATGAGCGGTTCGGAAAATGGGTGGATAATTCATTTACTGAAATCCCAAAATGCGTTTTGTCTCATCTCAGGAAACGTTATTTATTTACTGTCATTAGTTTATAGATTGAACGCCTCGTTTAGAATGTATCTTACAGTTAATTTGATGATGTATTTACACATTTTATTTCCTGGGCACGCAAATGGCAACAATTTGGTGGAATGGCCCATTTACAGTGCACCAGCAAAGTATATACAGTACTGTAATGTGGAATGAAAAATGGATGGATTCATCTGTCTTTTCACAGTCTTTATTCTTGGAAACAGAGCAAGAAAAAGGTCTCAAACGCAATTGGGTCAGTCAATACTCTCAGCAAACTGAACATTTTTCTTAAATGACAACCTCAAAATCCGAGACACGTGATACATGACCTTGAGGTGTTACTGCATGAGGTCATATGATCAATGTTTATGCGCATCCGAGAAGATTGATACTGTATGTGTGTTCAGACAATAATGACACAGAATGCAAATAAGCTCATATGATTGGTGACGCTGTCTTACAAAACCACAGGCTACAGCGTCTTGTCGCCTAAATAGCGCATATTTGAATTATACAATAACGGATCATTTTCACAATATTAACGTGAATGTGTGACATCCATCCATTCATTCCTTGCCTCTCTCTCAAGTTGACTTTGGGAGAGAAGCAAAACTGAAGCATGAAACACAAATTCATCCATCCATCAATTTTCTGAACCGCTATATCCTCACAAGGGTCGCGGGACGTGCTGGAGACTATCCCAGCTGTCTTTGGGCGGGGGGCACCCTGAACCGGTTGCCAGTCAATCGCAGGGCACACAGAGATGAACAACCATCTGCGCTCACACTCACACCTAGGGACAATTTAGAGTGTTCAATCAGCCTGCCACGCATGTTTTTGGAATGTGGGAGGAAACCGGAGTACCCGGAGAAAACCCACGCAGCCGGGGAGAACATGCTAACCACTGGATCACTTGGCCACCGAAACAGAAATTCTTGTTTGTAAAAAGTGGTACAGTGACACAAAATCGGATATAATAATAATAATAATAATAATAATAATAATAATAATAATCATGAGTTTGACTTAATTCTAATATCTGCAAGCTCCACTGGAACAATTTAAGACTGGGGCGGATATAAAATATGCAAAAAGCTTTCAAGAAGTAAAGAAAAAAGAAAATTATCCTTTTTGTCTTTTATATTAAAAGGCAAAAAGGATACTTTTCTTGTTTTAATTCCATTTTTATAACAATTTTTTCCAGCGAGAGTTATGTTTCCTTAAGCGGAACCTTGGTGTGGGAACCTGTGCTCAGGGGAATTTTTTTCTCTCAAACACCGGAAATAAACGGGGTCACATTTGGAACAGGGCAACACTGGCGACATGAACACACGAACTTACTAGTAATTAAATCCTAGAGCGTTCTTTTTTTTTCGCTCTTTCTTTCCCTCCATAAAATCTATATAGAGCAAGGAACATAACGAAATGGCGACGTGGGGTTGCCGACTTCTCCAGCAGGGAACTCGTCTGATTTGTCTCCGAGCAGCAACTGAAAGGTGGCTAATGCTAACTGCTTTACCTTCTGTTTGTTGACCACTGTTGCTATCATGCTGTATTTTGTAAAAAGACACTTTCGTTTCGTTTTCCTCAAAATGCATGTAAAATAGTGATGACATGTTTTTTTTTCTTGTAAATCATGAACAATATGATTGCTACACTTGTGACGTTATTACTTAAATTACAAAAAAACTGAGTGCATATTGTATACATAATCATCATTGTAAAAATGCTTGAGGCAGTATAATAATGTTCAAAAACGTATGGCATATAGAAGTAAAATATTGGTTTGTGATTTATTTAGCACTGTACGGTTATCATATATTGATACAAACTTCCTACTCACTCATTACATTTTGGCAACGTCCATATATTCCTTTATATTTTGTTTTGATTGACTGCAATTGGCTGACAAGCAGCCCAGTGTTTTATTATGGTTGCCATTTGCAGCAGTGTATAACCGCACTGCTTTCTTCAGAGAGTTTATTCTAACATATTGACCCCATGAAATAGCTAATTAAGATAGCAGGTATTCATTAACAGTAAGTGAGGTCACGTTTTGAACCATCAGCAACTGACTTGACTATGGCTTCTGTTGCAGCTCCATTCAGTCAGTAACTTGTCTCAGGACGTTAAAGACGTCAACATGGGTTGACGAGCACCTCACGGAAGAGAACCAACAGTTCTTAAGGAGGGAAACAGCCGAGGAATACAGAAAACAGACTGCGGACAAGCTCAACCCGTTAAAAGACGAACCGTGGCAGCGACATGAATGGACAGAAGGTAGCTGTCTTCATATAAAAAACCCCAAAAAACCCATTTAGTTTCCAGTCATGTGATTGGTTCTCACCGTTTTTTAATCTGGGTTCCTATTAGGTAGTCGAAGAGTTGGACTGGTTGCTGTGAAGTTGGGTATGGCTCCTCTGTGGACAAAAACTGGAGAAAGACATGTCGTCACTTTGCTGCAGGTATAAGCGGAATCATATTTTGTAGTTGCATCACATTCTTTTTCCCACAATGTAATGCATTTTCCAGATGTCTCAATATACTTTTGTCAAAATACTTAATGCATCGAGTATCACACACTTTACAACCTCTTTTTTTGCCTTGCTGAAATGAGATTGTTTTTATTATCCCGGGTTGCTGAAATGTTGGGTATTCCTCTCTGTTGCATTGTGTCTGGAGTTCAAAATAAAGCCAAAAATGGGGGATGACTTCCGATTGTGGCACCACAAAGATGAATAAAAAGGAGACAGTCGCTGAGACAGCTCAATGATGGTGTCGATAGAGCTGAAGAGAAAAGCAATTTGAGAGCACGACACAGAGAGACAGACGACTTGAGAGACTCTGATTTTCAGAGAGAGGCAAAGACAGACAGACAAACAGACAGATGGTGATCCTGAGAGTGTGTGAGACAGACAGAATATATGATATGTTGACTGAATGTTACAGACTCAATCTTCCAGGGGGATCGGCTCCTTGGGTGTGTGTGCTCCTTGCGCTAGTTGTAAATGAATGACCCTTTTTTTTTCCCTTATTCAGGTCCAGGACTGCCATGTCATACAGCACTTGTCGAAAGAAGATTATGATGGACGCACCGCCGCTCTCATTGTAGGAGGAAAAAACGTCTCGCCGTTCCATGTAAGAAACTTGTGTTTGATGTCGTAAAAATGCATTCCGAAGGTTTTCATCCTGGACATGATCCATCTTGCTCATTTTCCGAAATAAAACCACAGGATGTAGATGCAACATAAGCTAGCCCTGATTCAGAACTTTACATTAGTACATTTGATGTGTGTGTATTGATGTCTTATGTATTCCTTTCGACTTGAAATGTTTTTTTTCTTTAACCATTACAAATTGAATTACGTTGATTTAAAACCGACGCCAGAATGAAAGATGATTTCACATTATTTCACGTCGCCATACTAAATCCATCAGAGAAGTAACGGCTCATTAGGAATCGATGCTAGCTCATTTCATCCTGTGATCTACACAGCATGACTGTCTTCTCAACCTTGATTGACGGCATAATAATAGCATCGCTTGGCCGTAATGCACTGAGGCAGCACATTGTTCCTTATTATGGTTCTGGCCACTTATGAGGAGCATGAGGAAATCTTATCAGTGCGTTATGGAAATATAACTCGATGATAGCATTGAGCTCCTATTGGGACTTACCCTGTATTTTTTTTTTTTTTTTTTATGATGGCGCTTCCACAGTCGGGAAATTAAAGTCACCCCCTTGGTGTGCGTGCGGATGGGTGGATGGATGTGTGTGCTAAATCCTGAAAGCACTTTACTACTTGCACGAGGGAGCTTTCGACTCGATGCCGGCTAACTCTAGAGCGAGCATGTCGTAGTCATTCAGTGCGTGTGTGTGTGTGTGTGTGTGTGTGTGTGTGTGTCTGTCCGTCTGTCTTTGTGTGTTGGTCTGTGTGTGTGTGTGTGTATTTCAATCTGCCCCCGCGTGCGTCTGTTTCATCCCAGCTGTCTAAAAGTAATTGAAGCTCA